CACCGGCTCGCCTGGTGCGTTCCAGCCTACGTTGCAATTTGCATATAGGCAAAAACGCATAAAAATTTAGATTCTTGTGAGCGAACAATTTGAACTTCAAGAAATTCGAACCTGGAAGTCAACATCAGTCAGTGAAAGATGAAGGTGATTAGAAAGTGATGCACGCAGCTGTAGAATTTCAGCTTTTTCTTTAGTCATCGAACGCAGACGGCCCAAAGGGCTTGGTAAGGGCGTGTAGCTGCTTTCACCGGAACTGGAAAATCATTGTTAACAAACGGTGAATGAAATCAACATTTATTCATCACAATAATATCAACTATAGCGAGTTCTTAGAACGACTGCGTAAGCTCTTTTAGTGCTCAAGACAACAAATATGGACGGGACGTTATTTTGATATTCTTCTGGTAAATTTTTCAAATCTTTAGTGCTTCCTGCCTTCCTGAAGTGGTATCAGCTAATCTTTTTAATCGCTTCTTTTCTAGACGGACGACTTAGTGTCAAGAGCAAAAATGTACAGTTCTAATAACGATCTTAGAATTTTCCTGAAACGCTGTCAAAAATGCACAACAACGAGTGCCGACTCCGGTGTTCGAAGACGAGGAGTTCATCTTTGATTGTAGGACATCTAATTCCCTCTACTTTTCGCTCATTCGTTTCGATGGTAAATTGGTACTGGGGTATGATCAGAGAGTCGAAAACGACGATAGCTTCCTTACAGAAGCCGTCGGAAGCCCTACCAGTGAGTGGTCGCTTTTAGAATCAGCTGAGCAACTTTCGAGTGAATCCGATTCTCGCTACAAAAGGGGATTTAACTTTCTGTTTCCTGAAAACATTCGTATGAACCTATATTCGGAGCAAACATCCGAATCAGGACGCTTATTTGCATAATGTTTGAGCAACGCAACAATCTGGTCATGTCCTTTTTCATAAGCCCAAATAACCGGTGTTTGTTGTTGATCATCAGGAAGACTGGCCGACGAAATAGATGAACTGCCGCCAATGGAATTTCCGGATTCTCTGGATAAAGCGAACATCGTCTGTGCAATTGTAGATGATACCGGCATACTGCCTGAAATTATCTTACGTCAACGCCAAGGCCAAAATCCTTCTATATTCCCCTTCCTTTGGGAAACGATGATAATTAAAATTAATTATGCGTTTTTATGCTTTTGCTGTGCAGCGCTATAGCAGCGCTGCACAGCAAAAATGGCTGTAGCAGCGCTATAGCGCTGCTACAGCCAGCAAAAACGCATATTGTCGAGAGGCTGTGTGT